TACACAGTCTAAGTATTTTGACTTCATGCATCTGGGCAGTAGTGGGAGGCCTAGTTAATGATCTCTTATACTTCTGGTTCCAACTCCTAAGGCTCCTCTAAACCTTTTTAGATCTCATCTTGATGCACTCTATTCCACCCCTGAACATATAGATACACAATCTTGTTCTGAATTCTATTCCCTTAATATTCCATCAGTGGGAAAGAGCGTTAGACCTGGAAGCAGTAAGCCAAGGTTTGAATTTTACTCTTCCATTTAACTACTAGTGTGACCTTAGGCAAGTTGAATAATCTCTCTCAGCTTCAGTTTCCATAAGAGAATTCCATTAGATGATTTCTAAGGTCCTTCCTGGCTCTAAATTGTATGATCTTGTATTTCTACCCTCCAGCTTCCTCACCCCCCAAATCCTGAACTCTCCTGACTATCCCTTTCTCCTCTTGCCCAACAATATTGAATGAAACCCTAAAGAGACATTGGTCAATGTTCAAACCTAAGAACTGGGTCTCCAAGGTGGGGAGATGCAATATTTCAGAGAGTGAAGCAGGAGATCAGAGGTGGAGGGAATTAATGCAGTAGGAGGGGGTTATCCCAGGAAGTGTTTCCACAGTTTTCCTTTGAATTTCCTCATATTGTTTTCACATCTTAGAGGGCTAGACCTCTGAGCCAAAGAAATATTTACTCACTCCCCTCCCCACAATATTCTTTCTTGGATCCCAGAGTAAGAGGGATCCATGAAGTACCTGATTACAGACAGCGTTTTGTAGTGGGGGAGGGGGAGACTATTTTGGTATTGTTTACCGGGAGCTCTAGACCCTAGGGGTAGGGGTTGGGGGGGGAAGGGAGAATTTCCAGTCACTCTCCCCTCCAGCTCTTTCTGATCTCCTCTATCCTCACTGGACTCCTTTTCAAGTCCTTCTATCTACCCAGGATGGTGCTAGATTTGGTCTCCGATGACCTTGGTTCAAACTTCACCAATGTGACTTTGGGCAAGTCATTTCCTCTCTCTGGGCTTTAGTTACCTCAGGTGTAAAACGATAGGACTGAGTTAGATAAATTTAAGTCCTTGGAGCTCTAAATGGAGTTCTTGAAGCCTTGCAGAACTAATAATGCTTTGTTCATTCCTAATCTCCCAGCTGCCTTTCTTCAGTCCACTCCCTCTAGGGTCTTGTCCCACAGCCCTGAAGTCTACTGTCTATCTTTTCTACTCTCTACCCTTTGCCTACGTCCCAATGACAGTGAAGTCTTTTCAGGATAGCTCAGGAAGTCCTAATGGCCCATTCCTTGGTCACATTTAATGATATTTCATGTGCTTCAACTTCGTGGCCCCTTGTTAGGTTTCCTTCTCCAGATGTTAAGGCAGGCTTCTTGATACTCGCTCTGCTCCCTGGGACTCTAAAGAATGGTTTGTCAGAAAGAGAATGAAATGCCTCTTGAAATGCTGTAGCAGGACTGCAGGAAATTAGAGCTAGGAAGGATTTCCAGGGAAGAAGGAAAGGAAGGATGGCAGTATGAAGGTTTCTCATTTCCCTTGTCTCTTGTGGAGGATGAAATTGACTCCACTGGGCTGCCTGTACTCTTGGCTGGTTCCCTCAGCTCCTACCATTGCCATTTCTATGTCTCTTCTTTCTGTTCCTGTCCCAAGAGGCAGGGACTGCATCAGGGCTGGAAGCTACTGTATCATGACCCCAAAACTTGTTCCTGTTCTCCACCTACAACCATTAGGGTGGCTGACTTTGGACTGATGTAGGCACTGGGCCACAATCAAGAGTGCTACATCATGTTGGGAATCATCATGGGATTCCCCTATGGATGGTGATGAGAGGGAGAGAGATCAGAAACCTGGGAAGCAGGAGAGGGCCTTGTAGTGAATTATTTCAAGGAAGAAATGGAGTAGGGAAGGGATAAGTTAAATTAAGGGGTGTGTGGAGCAATGAATGGGTTCTAGTGTCACTCTATCCCTTGCCTCCCACCAGATATCTGGGAACCTTCTCCTCTGGCCTTATATGTATGGATGTTTAAAAAGATGTTGTGGAAAATGATCTCTGGAGGTAAAGTACCTTAGGTTAGGGTCCTGACCTAACTGATTGTTCAGGACCCAGGTCATGATGGTCACAGCTCTTTCAGCCTCCCCTCTGTTCCCACGACCACCATCTCATTGCCTTAGATACTGGACTCCCTATTCTGCCAATTGACCAAGCTTTCTATGCCTGGAGGACATCCTCCAAGAAGTCAGTCCCAGTTCCTGAAAACATCCTCCCCATTTCCTTTCTATAGTCTTCTCACTCTACTCTTCTCCTTCCATTCTCCTTCTTTCCCATCACCCATTCCCTCTCTATTTCTCTCTTCTTCTTGCCTTCCTCTAATCCTTTCCATCCCAAATCCCCATTTTCTACTTTCTGAACCCCCCCCCATCTTACCCTCAGACTCCACTCCTGATAAAATGCAAAGAAAGGCTTCAGGACTCAGCTTAGGCCCAAAGGAGAAAAGGGCACCAACTAAAAGTGAAAGGTGAGGTTGTAGCTGCTGGGACCCTAGAATCCTGGGATCCCAAAGGGAAGAAGGATCTGAGGATGGTTTGGTAGAGCTCCTGGGGTCTTTAAAAGGTCTGGGGAAACCAGGCATCTGGGTCATACTAAATTCTCTATTCTCCTTTCCAGAACTCTCCAAGAATCTGGGTCAGCCCTCTCTCTGGGTACTCAGTCCTCAGGAAATGGCTCCAGCCCTTTGGAAATCCAACATTCCATTGCTATACATTACTCCAGCTGGGTGGTACAATGGAAGAGTCCTGGGTTCAAATCCTGCCTCAAACACTTACTAGTTATGTGACCCTGGACAAGTCATATGATCTTTCTTGGTCTCAGTTTCCTCATCTGTAAAATGGGGATAATAATAGCACCTACCTCATAGGGTTGTTGTGAGAATCAAATGATCCTTTACATATGTAAAGGGTTTTGCCAACCTTATACTGATATACAAATGCTAATTATTAGCATTAATATATTAGCACTGGTCCTTTCCTTCCTATCTCTCTGATCCTTCTCCTCTAAACTCCCAGCCGAACCAGACCCCAAGAGAGACTCAGGCCCAGAGGTGTGCTAGTAAATGTTTAACAACTGGCTCTCCAAAAAATGTATGCATGACACATTTAAATTTAATCTGCATCATTAACGTTTTCTCTATTACTTTCTAAAATATAGAAAATCAACAAAACAATGAATCAGGCCCTGGTTTATAACATCTCCTGATTTCCAAGGTGTAAAGCTCACACTGAAAAATTAACAACCGACTCTTGAGTTAGTAAGAGCTAGCTTCTGTACACTCTTTCCCTGGGCTCCCCAAAATACTTTATATCTATTAACCTGTGGGAGGCATAGGGAAGCCAGACAAGTACTTGTAGCCCATATGAGCCTCTGCCCTGATCTAGGGCTCCAGAGGTTAAAGAAGTGATGGCATGGCCATGAGTGGGTGAAGAGGACAACATACAGCACATGAGTCTGCTAGGGGAGAAGGATTCAATGTTTTCATTGCTTGTAGCATTGTAGCTTATGTATTCACAGAGTGACAAGTGATATGACCTCTGTTTTCTAGAACCTCAAAGATAGATGCCAGCCTCTACCAGCTCCTATACCTCCAGGTACCTGAGCCTTCAGCCTTCCACTATCCTCCATCTTCTCAGAAAACCAGGGGAGATCTTCAAATCTACATTGCCCCTACTCACTTAAGTTTTGCCTTCTCTCTCTGACTTCTCTTCCTCCTGAAATTGAAGGTCCCTGAGGCATATCTCTGATTCTCTTTCCTGCCACCCACTCTTCTGAGGTATTCAGCTGGCCACCTTTCCAACTCTGAAGTCCTTTGTAGGTTTAAATGCTCTTTCACCTGAGTAGCTGCTCTGAGGGTGACTGCTGGCAGATCCTGGAATGTTATCAATGGAACCTCTGTACCACCAGCTACTAGATCACGAACAGGTTTTGACTTGGAGGCAAAAGGTCACCATCTCACTTCAAAGAGATGACAAGATGACCACCTCCATTCTTTCTTTATAGGGTATGGCATGAACTTCAGCTGGACTGATGTCAGGGATGAAATCTTCATTGTTTTGCCTTTATTTTTTAGCTTTGATGAAATATGATGTACCAGAAATCATCCCATGGGAGGGGAGTGGAGCTTCACTTGGAACTAACAATATTAAGGATACTGGGCTCATCTCTCCTTTTCTTTCCTCCCACTGCAATCCAGGGTAGACTCTGCTATCTAAGGAAGCAGGCTTAGCCCCCTAGAATCTACCTAGGAATGAAAAGGGTAAGATGTGCGAAAATAGAAAGGGCACAAGATTGGGAATCAGAAGACGGGTTCAAATACCAAATTTGCTGTTTACTGTTTGGTTTTTGATAAGTCTCATCACTTCTCTAGATCTCCATCTCCTCATTTGTGAAACAATGTAAGCTCAAAGGCTTCTTCTTGCTCTAAATTCTAAGACTAAGGCAGACCCACATTCATTTGGCTCTGCTTAGTTTTCGACACCCCCACCCAGGAAGCAGGACCTTGACTAAAGCACTCCACTCCACCCGCAGGAGCCTCACCTCCCTTGCCCTACTGCAGAACTTAGACTGAAATATGTGGAATGCTAGACATCATTCAATCCTAGAAGCTCTTGGTACTGCCATCTTCAGTTGGATCTTGGCTTATAGGTGGAGGCCAAAAAGGGTAGTTGTAAACACCTTGTGTTAAGTGGGCAGTCATCTAACCTTGGATCATGAAAGTAGTTCTCTTGAGACTTGGGGTAAACATAGTCATAGTTGTCTTGGCTAAAGATGATGTTGGGAAGTAGCCCTCTCTGACCTTGGCAGAATACAGACCAACTTGGATTTTAAACATGACCAATTTAAGACAAGGGCTTGTCTTCAATTCTCCTTTGTTTCCATACCAAGCCCCACCTCCAATCCCAAATATTAATTTCCCAGTGTCCAAAAAGTTAGAAAGTTTTTAATATTATATATATATATATTTTGTGTGTATGTACATAGAATATATATATACACACCATACAAAGATACATTATCTTCCCTGATGCCTAGGCAGAGGGAGGAGGAAAAATGTTAAATAAGGCATAAGAAAAGCTGCAATAAGCACCAGCTTGGGACAGTGCTGGAGAAATGGTGTTTGGGGACTTGATAGTTGGGTACTGGGGCCTCAGCCCAAAAGGGGGTATGTAAGGAGGATTATCTGGCCTCCTCTCAAAGTGCCATGGGTCCAAGAAGGGTTCCAGGGAGATTGGGTTTATGTTGACCAAGGAAGAAAATGTATGTTGCAAAATGAGGGGGAAAAATCACTGGCCTAAGAGCCAGAAGACTTGGGATTGAGCCCTGCCCCCAGTACCAATTCACTGTGTGACTTTGGTCAATTTACTTTTACTTGACCTCAGCTTCCTCATCTGTAAAAGGAAGAGTTAAAAAGGTCTATGATTCTAGCATTTGGGGGGGGGAGGGGCGATCCTGATATAATAAAATCTCCCAGCTACTACTTCTATTTTTCCTTTTGATATTATGATGCTGGGAAGTAGGATGGAGTCAGATCAGGAGCAGAGGGGGTAAAAAAATGTAAATAAGGGGAAGGGGAAGATGGCTAGTGCCTGGGGATAAATATAGGAGAATAGGGGACAGAGAAGAATAGCAAGGGATACCAGGGAAAGAGGAGCGAGAATGGTATGGTATAATCTTTATGGAGCAAGATATCAATGAGAAGTAGCGATGGCCATCACTGGGAGTTTGGAGTTGAGTTGAAGGATCCAAAAGAGGAAGGGGCCTAAAACAAAAACCCTTAGCATTCAACACATGCAGCATTTGTTCTCACATTTACTCCTTGTAGGGAATAGAGCCTTAGTCTTCAGAATGAAAGCTTTCAAAGTTTCTTTGGGGTACCCACGCCCTAGCCTCCACTCCTAGATCTGTCTCCTCAAGGCACCATCATCTTGGAGGGCAGCAGTGGCCATCTTTGATCCTGGGGCCAGGCCAGGGTGGTGGTAGATGTCTTGGAACTCTGTGGCCAGGATACCTATCTTTGGTTACATGGACAGCCTCTAACTGGTGACGACTGAGGGCCCCGGATTGGCATCTCCTGACTTCTCAAAAAACACGTAATCCTGGGCAGGGAGGAGCCAATAGGGACCCAATAAGAGGGATTCTGACACAGTATGATCCTTTAATCCCCATCCATGTTCTCCCAAAGAACTGTCCTCCATTTGCCCATCTGTTTTTTCACATAATCCACCCTTAAACCCACACCCTTGAGATGAACAAGACACCCAGATAAAGAAGGAGGAAGAGGGAGCATAGGATAGGAGCACTCACAATGAGAAAGGCTGCCCCCAGCAGCACAGCCTTCAATCGAACATCAAGGTCCAGGGGGAACTGGAGGCCAAACTGGTCTGCATCAGTGAGGGCCTCTGGCACAATGCCTCCCCACTGTTTACTGATCCGACCCACACTCCGTGATTCATCCTTAGTCTTCACCTGATGACCAGGAGGAGGGAACTGATGAGCCGTGAGGTTTGAGGAAGACTAGTTGCTGTATGAGGAATCTACCCCTTCTTGTCCCCTAGCAAGTCCATAATGGATTCCTGAAGAAAACCAGGGTTCTATGGAGAATCTTAACCTTATGGGGTCGATCTAAGTCTCTCTCAAACATATTCATACTTCTTTGGAGCAATTAATTCCCTTCATTTACAGCATAATTACAGTGTTGCAAAGCTCTTTTATTTACCAAAGCTACTACTTTTGAGCTAATTCTAAGGGTCCCGGAGAATTCTTCTGTTTAGGGATATGGTGAACATGGTCACATTCAGCTTGACTACAGCCTTTACCATAGCAAACCCCACTCAGTCTCTTTGCTTTTTCTCCTTAAACATTTTCTAAAACACTTTCTCCAGATACCTACTTCCATAACATTCTACTCTGTATACATTATATCCCACCATTAAATTGTAAGCTCCGATAGCAGCTATTTCATAGCTTTGTACCCCCAGAATATGAGTTTGAATCCGTTTTGCTACATACTACCTATGTGATCTTGCACCAGTTACATAGAGTAATTAGTTACTGATTAATTAATTAGTTGCTGATACTCTGGTATCAGTTTCTTAAAGTGAAGGGAGTCAACTAGATATAGACCTAAATTCTCTTCCAAATCTTGTGATTCTATGAGTAAGTTACTTTTTTTAATTAAAATTTTTAAAAATAATATTAAATTTATTAAATTTTATTTAAAAAGGTTAATCACTTAACTTCTATGAACCTCATTTGCTTTACCTGTAAAATGAGGGGGTTGAACTATGTGGCCTATATGGGGCACTTCCAGCTCTAAAGCTATAATCCTATGGTGCAAACTATCTCACTACCTATCTCTCTGAAAACTACCAAATTGACTTTCTTATGCAACCAATTGAATGCCAATGCTTGTGAGCTTAAGTGTTACAAACTGGTTTTCCCTCCTGGCAGCAATTGGACAACTAGTGGGATGCTAAACCAGTATCAATGGAATAAAGATCTTGTCTAAAAAGACAGAAACTATAAGTTCTCCTTCCTCTCATGTCCCCTAAAATATCCTTAGTAGAAAGGAGCCACTTTGACAGGTGTTTGCAGCATAAAGGTCACAATCTGGCATCACAGCAGTAACCACCGCATTAGACCACAGGGACTGCCATCTTATGGAGGAAACTATCTTTGATCACAGTGGCAGCCATATTGGATTTGGACATTGGTATTAGAGATCCTCAATCTTAGAATTGTCCATCTTGCTTTCTAGGGGTGACTATCTTAAGTCATCAAGGTAAGTATGTTAGACTTTTGAGTACTTCTCTGTCTGTGGAAGGGGACATCACTGTTTTATGTGGCATGCAATACTAAATCTCAGAGTTCTCACTGGTTCCCTAAACTTCCTTGTCATAATTCCTGTCTCTTAATCCCTACCTCAAAGTTGGTGTCACTGCCACAACCACAGGCACAGCATGGCCCCACAACTCGAAGCAGTGTCTGGCGATCTGCATCCTGAATTGAGAACTTGGGCAGGAAGGGATGCCAGGTCTGCAGTACATGCCCAACAGTTGTGCCAGGGGGAGCCTGAACTTCCAGCTAAGGCCATGAGAAGACAGAATCACTACAGGGTTCCAAGCTGTCCAGTCCCCAATCCAGGCCCCAGTTTTCTTCATGGGCCTGGGCCCATGATGGAAGAAGACTAGCAGTTTCTGGATTCCTATCCCCAAGGCCTCTCGGTCCTTCAATATAGCTCCCCCAACCTCAATATCCCTAGCTGTAGCTTCCACCTCCCAGCTTCCAAATCTTTGTCCCCTCGCTTTTTTAGGTGCTACCTCTAAGACGTTGTCCACAAACCCTAGCTCCCCTCAAGTCTCAAACATCCAGGCCCACCTCCTGAAGGCAACAGGGGCAGCAACAGGACCCACAGTGGAGAGGGCGGATCAAGTGCAGGACCTCACGGTTCCTGGGATCAGCCACACGGATACGCACGGGCCGGCGAGCCCCACAGCAGAGACGGGCACAGCAGCTGCTTTCCTCAACTGCCTGGCCCAGTGGTAGCCCTACTCCAGAATGTAGCTCATATCGGTTACAGATATCCCAGCCAAAAAATGCTAGGAGCAAGAGATAAGGAGAGGCAAATACATGGACATTAGTACTGAATTTCTGAGCCCTACTTCCATTCATTCATTCATTCATTCATTTGTTCATTCGTTCATTCGTTCATTCAATAAGCATTTACTAAGCACTTGCTATGTACCAGACATTATACTGATTAGGACACAAGGACAAAAATGAAATAGTTCCTGCCCTCAAGGAGCTTAAGAAACAACATGGAAATAAGTAGATACCAAATATATGCAGAGTAATTTCTGATGGTGAAGGAAGAACACTAGAAACTGGCAAATCAAGACAGGCCTTATGTACAAGGTTGAGCTCAGTCTGAAAGGAATTTTAGAGATTCTACAAGCTAGAGGTGAGTACGGGGGAATTCTAGGCACGGGAGAAAGCCTACGCAAAGGCAGGGATACCAAAGGTATAATGTTGGCTATAAGGGAACAGGAAGTAGGCCAATTTGGTTGGAACACGGTTTCTGAAGGGGAGTAAGGTGAAATAACCCAGGAAAGACAGAACCAAGTCAGAATGTGAAGGATTTTAAATGACAGAGTTATTCTAGGGGTAATTGGGAGCTACTGGGACTTCCTAAACAGGGGAATAACAAAGTCAAACCTTTGGCAGAATTGTTGATTGGAGTGGGGAGAAGCTGGATGCAAAGAGACTGATTAGGAGAATTCTTGTGGTAGTCAAGGACAGATGTGACAAGAGCCTGTACCAGGGTAATGGCCCAGTGAGTGGAAAGGAGACCAATGGGAGAGGTATGGTGGAGGTATAATGAACAAGATTTGGCAATTGATGGATACATAGAGTAAGAGAGAAGAGGATACTTAGGAGGCTTTGTCTACAATGACAGTGGTACCTTCAATAAAATAAGGATATCAGGAAGAGTGGAGGTGGGGGGAGGAAGAAGAGAGATAATGAACTGTTTGAGAATTGCTGACTTTTAAGATGCCCATGGGATATTCAATTGGCAATGTGCCATATGGGGTATAGGAATATGGAATCTCACTCTAGAATCATGTCAAGACTAAGATCAATACACACACAGTGAGGTAAGCAAAACCAGGAAAACAATACACATGACTTCAACAATGTAAGTGGACAAAACAAACAAAATGAAACTAAATATTGTGTAATTATAATAATATATAATACATTACAATTCTCTGTCTTTTTGGAAGTGGGGAGTTACAGGTGTGGAATAATGCCTACAATGTTGGACTTGGTTGCTATGTGGCTTAGTTTTGCTGAACTGTCACTTCTTCCCTTTCTTTTTTATTCTTTGTTATAAGGAATAGATCTCTGAGTAGGGGAAATGAGAGGAAAATATTGGAAAATGAAGGCAATATAAAAACTAAAGGTATCAACATAAAAAAATTTTAAGGAAATGTCCAATTGTCTATTAGAAAGAATATAACTAAGGAAGGGAGTCTAGATATATAAATCTAGGAGTAATTGGCTTAAAGATGATAGTTGAACCGGGGGGAGCTGATATGATGATTTAGAGAAAGAAGGTCTAGTCTCTCCCCATTTTAATCCTACCAATTTCCAAGCAGAAGATTTTCTCTCCCAGCTCCTACCTCAACCATTCTCCAATCTATCAATTTTCCATATCTGACACAATTATACCCCACTTACCTTTCACTTGCTCAATCTTCTGATGAATCAGGATCTGATCAATCTAGGAAGAGAGACACATACAAACACACTTCTCTGCTACCCCATGGAGCTAGAAAGAAAGCCTGAATTTCCAGTTATATTTCCCACTACTTTCCCTTTCATTAACTTTTTGCTTAAGCCCCTAATTTCTTAGTTCCCCTTCTTCCACCTGTCTAAACCCTATTCACCCTTCAAGACTCCAGCCTTTTCTTCCCAGAAGTCTTTCCTGATTCACTACTACCACAATCACCTCTCAAAAGTAAGTTTTTCTCCTTTTTATCCTCTAGCATTTTATATCTCTTATGTCAATTACATTACATCATATATTAAAGTTATTATCTCTTTTATCAGACTATAAGCTCCCTGAAACAAGGACTATATATAAAATACATTTACAAAATTAATTTTGTATTCCCATTACATCCTCCCCAACCAAATTCTCCATTTCCTCAGCCATAAAATGGGCATAATATTTTGACTTACCCTAACACCATGTTGCAAGGACTAAATGAAATAATGTGTGTGTGAAAATGACTTAGGGTCCAGATCCCAGAGCCTTCCTCCCTCATACTTCTAACTCACCTGTACAAGGAATTCCAGGCCGGAAGGGACGCCAGGCAATTGCAGGAAGGGAACAGTAACTGGTTCTGGTTCCAGGGGGGCCACAGGACCAGGGGAAGGGAAGAGGTTGACAATGTGGCCTGGATCAGGTGCAGGATTGGAATATGAGGCAGACTGGGTCACTGGGTATGGGGGTGATGGGGCATAGCCTTTGGGGGGCATGTAACCTGTAGGAAGGTGATATGGAAGAGGGAAGAAGTGAGAAGTAGACTGGCTTCCTTACTTTCCTTAAACTCCCCAGCAAACTAAGAAGAAACACATAGAAGAAGGATGAAAAAAAAAAAAAACCAAACACCTGGAGAAAAAGATGAAGGAGGTAGAACAGAGGCAGCATGAGAGCATAGCAGGGAGGGGCCTCTTCCTAGCAAGTTTAACTACATTCCCAGGAGATGCCTCCCTTGACATCCCACTCCCTCCTTCACCAGTTTCCAAGCCTAAAAGTTGACGGGAGAATGAAGGATAACAGGAGGCCTTATGGAGGTCAGCCCACCTTCACTTATCCCTCAGAGACAAGATCCCTCCCATCCCTGCCCAGTAACCACCCTACCCTAGGAATCCCTAATTACCTCCACAGAAGATACCCTTACCTGCCATGGAGGGGGATGTCTATGTCCGGTGAGGAGTGTCTTCTAGAGGAAGAGAGCCGAGGGGAGAAAGTTGTAGAGAGAAAAAAGGGAGAGTGAGCAAAGACACATAGAGGCAGAGCCACAAATCTGGGACCAGGAGAAAGGTAGGGTGGAGCCTGAGGCTCACTCAGAGAAACAGGAAAAGTGGACGCAGGAATCCGAGATGCCGGCGTGGGACTGGGAGTGGGTAGGTGGGAGGAGGAGGCAGGGAGTAGAAGAAGAAAAAGAGGAAGCTCTACAAGAGACCCGGGAGTCCTGGAACGCCTAGGTCCCAGCCACACCAGTGCCAGCTCCCTCCACTCTCCCAGTCTCTTTGTTCTCTTCTCCCCCCCCCCCCCCCCGATCCCGCCCTGCTCCTCTTCCCTACCCGCCCCTAATCGGATGCCTCTTCTCCACAGCTTACAGTAAGGCAGCTCCCACCCCCAGGACTGCGGGAGGTACCAGGCGGCTCCGTCTGCTCAATTCAGGAGGAGTAAACTATATTCAGATCCGTGCGAACCCTCGAACTGCCCTTCCCCCTAGGTTTCGGGGAAGAGGTCCAAGCACTAGTGCAGAGCCCCCCCCCCGGGTGGGGTGGGAGAGGAGAGGACACGCAGCTGCTTTCTTTGAGCCCTCCCCCCAACCCTTTCCGGATCTTCTTCAACAACTGGGAGAATAGAAACTGACGGGAGAGAGGATGAAAAAGTGAAAGACCGAAAGACAGACTCAAAGACAGTCCCTCCCCGCCCCCCGCCTATCTCTTTCTTCCTCTGCGAATTCTGTGCTCTAAATCTATGATCCTATGATCTCTAGAGGCCAAACCCTTAAGCAGCTAGGCCGCAGACATCAGGAGGTGGCCTGTTTTGGTAGCGCCTATAGGCACCTTGGTTCATGCTCAATGAGTCATTCTAGGTAGTGGGGAGGCGGGAGGAGGGGGAGAAACACAAGTGTGAGGCATGAATCAGTCAAGCTGCATTTATTTAGCACATGCTCTCGGCTTCCGAAGAAAAGGGATGGGCATGGAGGGGCGGGTAGAGAGGGAGCACTGAAAGGGTCAGAGCCAGCCTCTTCTGCTGGAAAATGGCACCCCATGGGATTGGGGCGGGAGTGGAGGCTTCTATGGGACCTACTCCACCCTATGCAGACCAGCCAGCCCCAAGGTGTTGGGTGCTGATATGCAAATTAACCAGCCCTAAATTGTAAGGGCGGGGTACGGATACACAGGGAAGGGAGTGGTTTTAATGGAAAAAGTTACTGTGGTTTGGAGGGGTCACCACACTGGGTATACACATACACTTCCACCACATGACCGCAGCGCCCCCTCCTGGTAAATGCAGGACTACTACGTCCCTGAAACCATTTCATGCTTTTTGAACCCCTTCCTAACTGGTTCCTCTCATATGGAACCAGTTACCACTTATGTGTGCATCAGTCAACCAACATTTATTAATCACCTACTATGTCGTGTTTCCCATACCCATATCTGCATCTCTGGTCCTTACCTCACACATGTGAGACCCATACTTCCCCTATCCTACAGACTCCCTTAGGTTGTTTCATCTTTGCTAAAAACTCAAAGGGAGGTAGTGTAAACATCTGAATGGAAATTTGGAAACCTGGGCTCTTGGAGGCTCTGTCTAACTAGATGTATGTGGTCAAGTTGCTTCCTCTCTCTGGACTTCAGTGGTCTTTTCTGTAAAATAGACTAGGCAAATTGTCACTGAGGTCCCTTCCAGTTCTGATATTCTGAATCTACACAGAATTTTCCTGGCTCAGGTACCACGGAGAGCCTTTTCTGATCTTCCCAATTGCAAGTGCCCTATATTTAACAACCTTGTATTTATATTGTTTTTATCCAACACATACTTGTGTAGGGGAAGGGGGGGAGGGGATAAGCATGTATATAGGCATTGTGCTAAGCCAGGAAGCCCTGGAATCAAAAAGACCTGAGTTCCAATGTGCCCTAGTTGTGTGACCCTGGGCAAGTTAACATCCATTTGCCTCAGTTTCCTCAACTTTAAAATGGGGATAATAATAGCACCCACCTCCCAGACCGGTTGTTAGGATCAAATGAAATGTTTGCAAGAAATTTAGAACAGTACATCGTGCATAGTAGGCACTATGCAAATGTTAGCTATTATTATTACAGCTATTAGCTAATTTCTTTTTTACAAATATTATCTCATTTGATGTATCACCTCATCTTCCTCATCCAATGGCCAGGCTCCCTTTAATTACATCAGAGAAAGTGTTCTCACAGGTGTGAACATCATGTTACCTCATTAACATCTCTGTGATTAACCTGTGATAACATCCCTCAATGTTAACTGGGGGGGGGGGGTAGGAGGAATACCAATACCTGATTTCTTACATATGTGTACATGTTGTAAATTTCCCCCATACAAAGCAAGCATCTTCAGAGTAGAAATTGTTTCATTTTTTGTATCTGTATTCCCAGCACTTAGAATGGTGTCTGATACATAGTAGCTATTCAATAAATACTTCTTGATTGGTTGATGGATACATCTAAAGCCAATATCTTCATCTTCCTTTTCAGACTATTACTGATTCTGCAATTTTAAAAATCAAACATGTTTACAATGTTGGTGTCTTTTTCCCCTTCTTTTCCCTCCATCTTCAATTACCAAATCTTGTCCATGCTGCCTTTAAAATATCTCTAGGATCCTAGCCTTTGTCTCCATTTCTGTGGCCCCTTTTCATTTACAATTACATGCATTCCAATTTACTAAGCACCTACTAAGGGCAGGCACTGTCCTGGAGGTAGGTGTGGTAGGACATAAAGATTAATAAAACACCACAACTACAGTCTGTTAGGGGAGATGTCACTTAAATATAAACAACTGGTGGGGAGGCTGGGTGTCGAAGTGGATAGAGCTCTGGCCTTGGAGTCAGGAAGACCTGAGTTCAAATGTGGACTCAGACACTTAACATTTACTAGCTGTATGACCCTTGGTGAGTCACTTAACCCCAACTGCCTCATCAGAAAACAAAAACAAAAAAAAACCAAAAAACAACAACAACAACAACAAACAACTGGAATCAAGGTTGAGTGTGGTAAGTGGGAAAGAAATACAAAGTGCTATGAGAGTTCAGAGAAGGAAAAGATTACCTACCAACCTGAGAAGGAGAGATAAGGGAAGGCTTCATGGAGGAGGTGGCTTCAGCCTCTGTGGATTTCAACTGGCAGAGATGCTGGGAAAGGACATTTCAGGTCAAAGGAATGCCATAAGCAAAAGTGTAATAAGGCAGAAAACTGTAGGAGTAAATTCAAGAAATTTGGATGGACTATAGAGTATAGGAAGGGGAATAGTATGAGATAAGGGTGGAAAAGTAGGTTAGAGTCAGAATAGGCAGGATTTGAATGCTAGATTAAAGAGTTTGGACTTTATGTAGTAGCCTTTAGGGAGTCACTAAAGGTTTTTGAGAAGAGGAATGACATTAGACCTGATTATTCTAGCAGTGGTAATACAACTGAATAGAAGTTAAAAGAGAGAGTGAGTATCAGAATGAGGTGGTTGCAGCAAAAATGGAAAAGAGGGGATGGATGTAAAAAAAATTTTTTTTTGTGGAAGTATAATTCACAAAGACATGCCTTAGATTCACTTCAACAAATGTTAATAAGGCTTACTATGTCTAAGACACTATAGTAGGTCCTGAGCATATAAAAGACAAAAATAAAACAGTTCCAACACCCCCAAAGGAGCTTACATTCTAACATGGGATACAACATGGGGGGGGCGCATAATTTCAGGAGATAGTAACAAGTAAGGCTTCTGGAGGAAGTGAGGAGGTGATAACTAGCCTAGAAGAAAGATAAGTATTTTGGGAGGTTGAAACAGGGAAGGAGTACATTCCAGGTGAGGAGAGGGCTTGTTTAATGCACAAAAATGAGAGATGGATATGGAATTCGAATTCAGGGAACAGCTAATAGTTCACTTTAAAACAGATTAGGACATAAAGGGGAATAACATGAAATAAGTCTGTCAGGGTAGGTTAGAGACAGATTATGGGAGACCTTAAAAATGCCTGTCCAAAAAGGTATTTTGTCCTAGATGCTATTGAAAGTCAAGAGACTGATGTGGTCTATCCCTCCCCTACAGACTTTGCTTATGAGGTCAAGGTGGAGGGGAATTGCAAGGGAAATACCCACAAAGCACTTAGGAAGCAACATGGACTGCAGATGCAAGAAGTAAAAAAGCCAACAGGTTTATTTAGTATATATTCACAACCAGAAACAGCTCTGGCAGAGTAAGGGATCCTATCAGGATAGTCCTCAGGTGGAAAGTAGAGCTAGAGATTTGGCCATAAGGCAAGCCAAATCTGATATAGGGACTAAAAGGGTCAGAGTGGTTTCCTCTTTCCCCAATCCTTAGTCAAGAGGGTTAGGCATGGCCAGAGATACATACCAAATCAGCCCCATTGAGGTAAGGGTTGGGGGGGCTACCTTAGGTTGATGAAAAGGGGGCTTTGAGCTTAGGTCCTGATATGCTAATCAGGCAACCAGAACATGGCAGGAAAACTGTGAAAGGGATGGGCCATGCAAGGCACCCCAAATAGGTAAGTCAAAAGTCAATTTCCTGCTTCCTCTGTGTCTTAGTCCCCTATGTTTGGAATTCATTTCCAAATAGTTTAGATGTTACTTCCCATACAAGGCTTTTCTCAGCTACCACCATTCCACTTGTTTGTGTTCTCTCCTTCTTGAAATTAATTTGAATAAATTTATATATGTACATGTTATATTCTTTCCCTACCCCTACCCACAATAATAGGTAGACTGGTGGACGGCAGGGGCTGTTTGCTGGAGATATTTTGAAAACAGAATGTACAAGACTTGGTGCCTGGAAGTAGGTGAGAAAGGAAGCAAAAACGCCAAGGTTTCAACTTTGACTTTCAAAATAGTAGAATCAGTAACAGACTGGAAGGAAGATGAGTATCTTAGCTTTAGATGTAGATCCATAGAATGTCATAACAGGACAGATCCTCAAAGATCATGTTATCCAATCCACTTTACAAAGAGTACACTGAGGCACAGTACCTTGCATATAGTAGGTACTTGTTTGAACTAAAGATTATTTTGGGAGCTGCCTGAAGAAAGAATTGAAGGAAGGAGAGACTGGAATCAGGAAGACCAAATAAGGAGACTATTACAATAGCCTAAAGGGACGTGATGAAGCCCTAAGTTAGTGGCAGTTTAGGTAGAAAGAGGGGGATGAATATGAGATAGGTCAATGAGGTACAACTGACAAGACTTGGCAGCTCAATATGGAGATTGAGGGAGAGAGAAATGACAAAGATGACTTTAAGACTACAAACTTGGATATCTAGGAGATGGTGCTGCCCTTAATGGGAAATTTGAAGAAGTGATGTGTTTGGGGGAAAGATTCTGTTTTAGACATGCTCAGTTTAGAAATGTAGACATCTAGCAGGGAGTTGGTGATATGGGATTGGAGTTGGGGAGAGATTAATAGGAGTTATTTGTGTAATGTTAGGAAATGAACTTATCAGCTGACAAGAAAACCAAGGTTAATATAAGGGTAACAGATGAAGCCAGCCTAGTAGATGAGATTACCAAAGGACAGAACATAAATAAGAGTCCCTCAGGTCAGATTCCTCTCACACCCTGCTACCCAGGAGGGATTAATAAAGATGCCAAAGTTTTCTGCATTTCATTTTTAATTTTCTTCTCACTCCCAATTTCCAAACAAAACACCAGCAAAGATGGAGAAATCAAGTTCCCCAGCATCCCATCATTTGGTGTCTTCTCCCAGGAACAACTGGAGTACCCTTACAAAAACAGGCTTGCTGCATCATGCCTGAAGAGGTTAGTCTGAAGACTGGTTGGGTGTGATAATACAGGGGAAGATCAAAGAGCTAAGGCAAGCCAGCCAAGAATAAGCAGGGAGCCCCCCACAGGGGCAACTGGCATTGCCATGGTATCTCCTGTCAGGGCCTGGTAGTAAAAGCTGCCACAGAAGAAGGAGATCCCAGAGGTAAGCAGAGTCCCAGCCTGGGAGTAAAGAAGACAGACATGTGAAGCTCTTAAGTGCAGGAACTAGGAATAGGGGATTACACCAACTCTGTTTCTCCTGTGATATAGGAGTGTTCCCACAAGTCCTCAGCCCATGACTCATCCCTCCACACGCTCCTTCAGTCTCTGACTTGTTCCTCCAGCCCTGCCCAGTCACAGCATTCACTCTCTCAATAAAGATAGCACTTGTTCCTCTGCGAAGATAAGCTTTGGTGGAGAGGACATTCTGGGCAGGCTAGAGGATGAACAGGCTGGGAGGCACCCTGAAACTTACCCAAATCTGCTTGCTACAGAGGGGGACGCAGAGCAGAGCCAAACTGTGGAAGAAGTGGTGTTTGTTGGTTTTCTCAAAAAGCTAGAAAATGAAAGAAAATGCAAGAACTGCATTTTTCTCAGGAATTCGTATAGATTTATAGTTTCCTCTCCACTCCTTTAAAGGTTCCCTGTTTTATTGAAGTCCCTAGTCCCACCTTCTCTAAGAAATAACCAGGTTTTCATGGCCCCTCCCCCACAGAGCATAGGGCACGTATACTCCAATACATTTTGGCTTCCCCAACCCCAGTTCTTTTAGTGACCCAAGTAACTAGGGCTCCTTTTCTCTTGGGAACTCTACACATTAGGACCATCACCAACTCCCCCCACCCCCTAAGGCCCAGGCCAGCAGCAAAGGTAGGGCAGCTCTTTTACCTCCTTACGATATGGGTCCTGGATGTTCGCACCTGTAAAAGATAATAGCAAAAATTAATACCGACCCGTCAATCCAAGCATTTTACGAAATCGTGCCAGCACCTAACCGGCCAGCCTGGGATAAAGGGGTCCTTCAAATGGGCCCCTTGCAGGCTTCTGATTAGGCAGAAGCAGTAAATTGACAGTCAAGGTAGCCAATCGTGGTGAGACTGGGTAGGTTGGAGAAGGGTCTTTTCCTTCGAAAACTAACCCATAAAGGTGGTCGAGGGCAGGCTCGAACCAGACCAGTTAAGTCCACCCTCGACCAGTTTTAGTCCGCCCGGCTCCCAGCTTTTACCCATTTGACCCTTTGAAGTCACCCACTTCCAGACCCCTGCTCCTGACCCTCTCCCCCTCAGCTCTATACCCATAATTTAAGCCCCGGCCCGGCCCCCTGACCATGCGCCCCGTAAGTGGCCAACCCCAAGGCACTGGCTCCGGACACAGCGCCTAAGCGGCGGAAAGCAGCACCCAGTCCAGCCATGGCAGTAGAAGGTCACAGAATTTAGGAATTGCGGACCATAGACCCGAGAATCTGGCCAATCCCAATCGTCTATGCAAATGAAGTCTTCCACTGCCCAATCCTGGCTGCGTTAATTTTAGCGTCTACCACCTTCACCCCTCAACCAAGTTGAAAAGATTGTGAAGCTGCTGGTGAATGGCGGAGGTGCCCTACGGGCGGAAGAACTGAAAACCAATTAGGAGGTGGGCAAGGGGCGGGTGGAAGAGAAGAGACACCACCTAAGGCTGGACTCAAAGTCCGAAATCACTCCCTCATAGCCCCACCTACTCCCACTGGCCCCGCCTCGTGTGCTGCAAACCCAGCCTACCTTTGGAGAGACGATTTTGGTCCCTATTTCTTTTAAGCTCCACCCACTGCCTATAGGGCTCCTCCTCCCTGCCTCGAGAGACCGGGAGGTCTATTTTTTTCTGGGCTCCCCCTGCTTGGTTCGCATTGCCCCCTACCCAAGTTTACTAGAAACCACACCCAGGCCCCCTTGTCCCGGCCTCTCCACAGCCCAGATCTCCAGGGCCAAACCCGCGCCTAGGGCAGGGGAAGAAGTGTCCAGAAGAGGGAGCCACCCCCACCCCAACCCCAGGTACCCCTTACATCTTCTCACTTAAGCCCCACCTGTCTCGCGCTTCCTCCTCTCCTCACCTCCTTCTCTACACTTAGTCCAACTAGGTTCATTCAGCCTCTTCGATGCCTCTAGGTTTCTATCTGTCACCGCCCCTCCTCCTTTCACTCCTTTCTTCCACCTCCATCCCCGACCCCCATTTCCACTACCTCTCCATGGTCTCTGAAGGAGCAAAAGGCGTGGGAAAGATGGGGCCAAAGTGGGGAGAAGAGGCGAGGGGTACCTGAAGTTGGGGTAGGGGAGGAGAGAGAGGAGGAAAGGGGGAGGGATGGGAGAGAAGCGGGGAGGCGGGAGCGAAGAAAAAGGGAAGGAATGGGTGGAGGGAGAGAGGACATCAGAGTGAGGGGATGCAAGGCTCTGTAGGCCGGGGAAAGAGAAGGGAGGGAGGGAAGTAGCGAGCTCGAGCGGGTTGGGGGGAGGGAGAGGGGAGGGGGAGGCAGCTGGGCTGTGACGCGCGTGGCTGCTGCGGCTGCTCCGCCGGCGGCTCATCACTCTCGGGCTGGGATGGACGAGGGGCGGGCGGGCCCCGGCTCGCAGAACCAGGAGTTCGGGCCGCCCAGCAGCTAAGCGCTTCCCCCACCACTCCTCTCCTCTACCTCCACCATACCCCGAGGGACACTGTCCCCGCTCTGCCTTCCCCAATCCCAGGATCTCTGGAACCCAGCTCCCAACCCCCTAGCCCAGGGTTGGGGAGGTCGGCAAGGGACCGAAAACCCGACCTTTTCTGATCTTCCCTGGATTTTCTTCCCCCTTACTCGAGACCGAGTGGATCCATCCTCCTCCTTCCTAAGGATTCCGACCTAATTCCCTCCTGTTCAGAGGATTCAGCGTGGGGCCTTCCCGACAGCCCTCAGATCCCTTAGGATCTCTGGAGACTATCCCCCCCCATCCCTGATCCCTCAGGATCCGTGAGATCCGCCACCTTCTCCCCATTTTCAATTCTTCCTCAATCAAGTCCTATCGGGAGACGCCCCCAGCCCAATTCGAATATCTCCGGGGATCCAGCGGTCTCCAATCCATCGTACTCTACCCCCGCTGCGGGATTCCTGGTTCCCAGCCCCCTCCTAGGCGGGCATCTGCTTCTCCTTTCCCTGGCCTCGTACCCTACCTCTCCTCTCCCAGGGAATCGACTGGATCCCGGCCCGCCCCCGGGGCTTGGGGTAATCCCCCTCCCCAGTAGGGTGAGGCGCTGTGGGCGGGGGCCCGGTCTGCCGGGTTTGGAGGCTCTAAGGCCCCTGCACCCCTAAGGACCCTGTCTGCCTTCCTCCTCCCCCACTCCGAGCCCCAGATGGAGAAGCCACGGCCCCGGGGTTGAGGCAGGTAAGAGACTGGGGAGGGGCCCCAGAGGGTCTGCCGTGTGCCTGTCTCTGCATATCTCTCTCTAGCCATCTTCAGTCCCTATATCTCTGTATCTTCATTTCTCCCTCTCTTTCTTGGTCTTGGTCACTTTGTCTCTGTCTCTTTGTCTCTCTCTCTCTCCAGCCCATGAATGATCCTTTCAATGGGCCCACAGACCCCGTGTGTTCCCATCTCCCCCTCCTCCTCCCCCTTCCTGGCCAATCCATTTCTCCACTGCAGGGGAGGGGGCTGAGGCCTGAACCCCTGCCCCCCAACTCCCTTTGGGTTTGGGGAGTCAGGCCTGAGCAGGGGATGGAGGGAGGGAGGGAGGGAGAGATTGGAAAAGAGAAGGGGGGGTGGGGAAGAAAGATTGGAAGAGAAATGGAGACATAAGATGGGAAGAGAGAGATAGGGGAGAGATGAGTGTAAGAAATAGAGGACAGGGAGATGGGAGGGAGATATTGGCAGAAAGGAAGGGGAAAGAGATGAGAAAGAGATGGAGAAAGAAATTGGGCATGAGAGAGAGATGGGGACAGATTAAGGCAAAAGGAAGATGCAGGGGAAAATGCATAGAGATATGGAGGGAAAGAGAGAAAGATGGAGAAAGAAGGGGAAGAGGGATGAAGGAGAGGGAGGAAAAGGATGTAGGTAGAAAAGGGATGAGACCGATGGAGATCAGAAGTGTTGGAAGATGGAGGGAGTGGGAGGGAGAGATGTAAGGGAGAAAAAGAAACAAAAATGGGGAGATGGGATGGGATGGAGGCAGAAGGAGAAGCCGGGAGAACTAGAGAGAGATTGTGGAGTGGAGAAGTAACTGAATGGTGGGGATGGAGAGCAGTGAAACAAGACCCAAGTGAGTTGGGATATGAAATGCCAGGAGAGGGCAGGGTCCTAAAGAATAGAACAGTGAGTTGGGGGGGGAGGAAAGGTAAGGTGGGAAAGGGATAGGACTGGAGTGGTATTGGGGATTTCTGTATCCTCATCTCCAGAATAAATTGACACCTGCAGAGAGAGCTGGTCTGGCAGGCATGCAAACATTGCTGGCTCCGAAAATGACCCAAAGAAATATCCTTGTCAGCAAACAGCTTTGGCAGTGGTAGGGGAGGGGAGGAAAGAGTATGTAAGAAACACCCAGGTGTCTGGATTTCTCCCCTTCCCTACCTCCTGCTTTTTTCAGGGGACCCAGGTGCTTTATCCACAAATATTATGTGATAATTGGTTCCATCTTAGTGAACTGGGAGAGGAGAGGTAAGGGAGGCAGATAGGCTGGTTGTCTGAGCCCTAGAAAGGAGAAAAGGCTAGATTTAGAGCCAATACAGAAGTGGGATACTAGATTGAGGTGGAGGGATAGGTGAAACATGTAGGTGGTAACCCCAGTGCCAGTAAGGAACCTTCAGTTCTTTTTGGGGGGGGGTGATCTAGAAGAGTAGGGTGGACAGAAACTTACACTGTCAAGGGGCAGTTGCTGTGTTCATCTCAAGCCTTCTACCCCACCCCCCACTATTCCAGCATCAGTAGTTCTCCCTCCCTACCTATTCACCAGAGTCTGCAGGCCTGGGTCACTAGTGCTATACTAGGATTGGCCAACAAGGGGGGCAAGAGGCGGGACTTTCAGGCCTCTCTGGCACCCCCAACTCCTCCACCCACAATACAGGCTCTTTTATTTTACTTCTAAGGGTGGGAGAGACCCAGGAGTCTGGTGTCCCAGTCCTTGAGTTTTTTTCCACTCTTACTCCTCCAACCCCTGTTTCTAGTAGAGATCCCAGTATCTCTGGTCTCAAAGCCCTTCATGCCCCCCTTCTCCACCTCTTAGCCTCCTTCCAGGGTTAAAGCTGCAGCTGGTTGCCGCGGTAACATTGCGGGGCAGCATCCAGTTGTCCTGGCAACCAGTACCAGGATCACACATCTTTCCCCAGAAATTGCCCCCCACCCCCATATAAACCCTCCTCCCCAGTCAGAAGATCCAGGCTTTCAGTTGTCCAGTCCCTAGCTCACCAGAAACCCTTGAACTTTAGGGGAAAGAGAAAGAAGGCATCTATGTGAAAGAAGATGGGTGGCAGCTGGAGGGCTGGATACCTAAGTCCCCTTGGGTACTGAGGGATGGAGAAGAAAAGAATCTGGGGGCTTGGAAACCTGGGTCCCAGGAACTACCTCAGAGCAAGGGTGGGAATGGGGAGTTTGCTGTGGTGGTTAAATTATAGCTCCAAAGTAATTAACACAGATAAACAAACCACCACTTCCTGCTAATTAATGAATTGGTATTTTTCTTTTCTCTTTCAAGTCTATTTCTCTCCTCCCCCAGACCAACACCATGTATGTGTGTGTATGTGAGTGTGTGTGTGTGTGTGTGTGTGTGTGTGTGTGTGTGTGTGTAAGTAATCCTGGACACCCCAGGCTCTGAGAGAAGCCAGAACTAGGAAGTATCGAGACCCTATGTTCAGGGGACCTGAATCCCTAACCCCAAAGAGTTGTGCTGTAGGGATTCAAGGACCTTAGACTATGCTGACCTGAGCTCCTTCCTGAGTGCCTTAACCACTTATTGACCATGACCTAGCTCCTCTTATCCCTTGCCTTGTATCTGTTCTGGGAGTGGTAGGGTTGAGGGGTTGGTGGGAGGGATGGGAATAATGCAGAACCTGAGTTCTAACTAACCACTTGTCTCTTCTCTCTGTTTCCCCCTCCTGTTTTGCTTCTATCTTAATCCTCCCTTCCTTTTTGTTTCTTTTCTTTTTTTTTTGCTTCTATATCCCTCCCTCTTCCTGTTTTTCTTTTTCTGTATCCCTCTATCTCTCCATCCCCAAGCCTGCTCTTTTATCTCTCTCTAGGTCCTGCCGTCTTCCCCCACTTACCATCTACCCCCCCCCATTCCCCACCCTTTGCTCTCTCCATGGAGCGCAACAGACCTCTCTTCTCCCCGATCTAACTTCCCCTCCCTCCCTGCCCCTTTCCTTCCCCCTTTTCCCCCTCCCCATCCTTCCCCCTGGGGAGAGGGGGGGGATCTCCCTCCCTCTCCCCCCCTACTCTCTCTCTCTCCGAGGGGGGGATCCAGGGGAGGGAGGGGGGTCCCCCCCAATCAGCATGTGGCTCTTGGTGCTGTGTCTGGTGGGGCTGGTGGGGGCTCAAAGGGGCGGAGGGGGTCCAATAGGCGGTATCCCAGGGGGTCCTGGGGCTGGGGAGGAACGATTCCCAGTGGTTGGCACCGCATATGGGCGTGTGCGGGGAGTTCGCAGAGAACTCAACAACGAGATCCTGGGCCCAGTGATGCAGTTTCTGGGGGTCCCCTATGCCACACCCCCTCTGGGGGCCCGACGCTTCCAGCCCCCTGAGGCACCAGCCTCTTGGCCTGGGGTGAGGAACGCTACCGCCCTCCCGCCTGCCTGCCCCCAGAACCTCCACGGCGCCCTCCCAGCCATCATGCTCCCGGTCTGGTTCACGGACAACCTGGAGGCTGCCGCTGGCTACGTGCAGAACCAGAGTGAGGACTGTCTGTACCTCAACCTCTACGTGCCCACCGAGGATGGTAAGGGCAGAGACTGGTGGTACAAATCTGCCCCCTTCCCTAGGTCTGACACACACACATACCCCTTCATACACAGATCCCATACTCCACCCACAGGCACCTTTTCATCAAGGCAAATAATCATATTCTCTCTCTCTCTCTCTCTCTCTCTCTCTCTCTCTCTCTCTCTCTCT